CCCTACCCAGCCCTCCCACCAACTCAGCAGGATCTTCTGCATAATGAATCCTAGAAGGTGAAGAATGTCTTTCCTTTGACCTTCCAGGAAACCCGGAGGACAGGAGGTGATCAACAGACCCGGTTAAACACACTCCTGTGCACATCCATCCTGGGGCAAGCATGCCGATTCATGTGCTAGAGTACAACCGTCTCTATATCTTGTCTTTATTTAGATGAGTCCATGCTAAACTGAGAAAGAAAGAACTGACGTACATACTTCTCCATGTCCTTGCATCATGTGTGATTTTTTTTGAAACTGGGATTTGAATTAAGCATCACACTTAAGGTATTTCCCATATCCAGGTCACACCGAGCTACAGTCGGGGTTGTAAAAAGGCAGAGCAGGGTAACCAGAGTCAACAAACATCAGCTTGCCTCTAGCCACACACATCAGGCGTCTCTTTGAAAAGAGGGTTTTCATCAAATTTTCCCTCTTATCTTTTTTGTTTCATGATGTCTTCAGAAATATTTCCCATTTTTTTCCTATGGCAGATCTCTTCTCAGTAGTACTAGCATGGCATCAACACAATAGAATGGGCACTAAATGTTTAATAGCTCGCTTCATTTGTAAAATGTATCATAGACAGGTGACAGGGGTATGCATTTCAGCATCAAGATAGTTATGTGTATCCATAACAGGCGTTTCCATAAAGAATAGCTCCTGCTCGCTATCTTACATAATAATTCATATCTCTTTAATTATGTTTCAACAGTCACAACTGTTAAGATTGCTATGTACCACGGTGGCTTAGACAGGAATATAATTATAATTAATACAAATGCTCTCAAACTTATGTAAGATCTACAGCAATTTTAGAAACAACAGCAAATATAATTAATCACAGTAAAAATCGACAGCGGTGATACACTAAAGTCTGTCAAACTGTTATTGAGATAAATTATTCCTTATGGAAAATGTTGAAAATGCAGGTAGTTTTATTTACACAAATGCACTAAATTAGATGTAGATAAAAATATGGGTAAAAAAAACCCCTCTCATTTGCATTATTGTAAATTAATTATGAGAGTGTGCTGCCACGAGGCTCTGCATAAAGCTTTCATTTTCTAGAAGTTCACCTTACGGCCTTCTGCAGCATTTGCTGCCCCAGCATCGTGCCGTCAGAGGCACATGCCAGGTGGGACAGGGACAGAAGACACTGAAGGCCCACAGATAAAATAAACCTTTGGGCCTTACCAAAGGTTGTTTGTTTTGTTTTTTTGCAAAGCTTTTATGTCATGAGTCCAGGCAAAGCCTAACAGATCTGTGAGAGTCATAGAGCATTGTAACACACCCCTCACAGCCATGCTTGCTTTTGGTCACTATTGCCAATATGCTAAAGTGTTCCATGAATGGATTGGCTTAACGTTTCTTCAACAAATATTGTTTCACAGGACTGTCCTTTCAGAAGGCAAAATGACGTTCACCAAGTTAGTAACTAACCATGCCTCCTTATGGAAATGCTAAGACATGCACCAGTGCTGAGATTTGCCAGACCTGTGCCTAGCTCCAGGCTAACTAGCTTGGAGTGCTGAGCATTCACAGACAATGAGCTCATCCTTTGCACTATCTATTTCCAGAGGCACTACCAGAAATATTGATAAATTAGTTTCAACCTCCTACTTTCTCTTGTGATATGGCCATGGATGTACCCTCCTAGATAGGAAGGTATGTAGGTGTGGTGGTTTGAAAGAAAATGGCCCCCAAAGGGAGTGGCAGTATTAGGAGCTGTGGGTTTGTTGAAGTAGGTAGGGCCTTGCTGGAGGAAGTGTGTTACTGTGGAGGTGGGCTTTGAGGTCTTATATATGCTCAAGTCACACCCAGTGAGTCAGTTCACTTCCTGTTGCCTTTGGATCAAGATATAGAATCCTCAGCTCCTTCTCCAACATGTCTGCCTGCATGCTGCCATACGCACAGCTGCCATGCTCCCCGCCATGATGATAATGGATTAAATCTCTGAAACTGCAAGCCACCACCTCAATTAAATGTTCTCCTGTATAAGATTTGCCATGGTGTCTCTTCACAGTAATAGAAACCCTAAGACAGTCGGTAAATAGATGATCGATAGATAGGTGATCGATAGATAGGCGATGGATGGATGATAGGTAGGTAGATAAATATGTAGATAGTAATAAATAAATCCATGAGTAGAGGAAAGCTGGGCTGGTAGCACAAACAGAAAACTCTACAAAGTTTGATGATATTAATTTCTACCTAGAAAAAGTAGCCAGTTCTGTGTAGGAGTCCACACCCAAGGCCATTCTTTTCCTTCTGTCTCTTTCCTCATTCCCTGCTGGCTTCTCCTTATTTATTGAAGGCTTTCTGTGGGACAGTGAGAAATGTGGCTGAAAGATCAGCTGCTCAGCGACCAACATCACAGGGCTTAAAGTGACTGAACAAAGAGGATGTTTGGAAGGCCTACTGGGTAGCTTAAATAATGAAACATGCTTGTTACACACCAGTGAAACTCTGGCAACCGATGCATGATTCATGCAACGCTTTAACTATTCTGTCTAAAAATGGAGCTTGTAAAATTTAAACTTGAATTTCGGCAGAAAACCCTGAACAATTCCAAGTTTTAAGGATTTCTATCACGTGTAGCACAAGCCTACATTTTAAAGTGTCCCATTTATAGGCAGAGTGTGTTGACTAATTTGTCTTATGGAGAACACAGTCTCTATTTCAGAGAAGGCAAATACAGCAATGCATGCTGTGCAGACAGCCCTGTTAAGATTACTGTGTAGTAAATAATCATGTAAAATCTGACGTGACTTATGGGTCTTTGGTCTAAAATTGTATCAAGGCCATATGTTACCAGAGGCAATCTCCTCCAATGCATAATTTATGGCATCAACCCTGTGTCTACCTAAGAGACCCAGGTAGAAAAATGAACAATCCAGCAGAGAAAGACCCTTGGAGGATTAGTTATCATTTAGCTGAGGTCACGAGGGCAACCGGATTACTACATTTCAAGCTGTTCCTCACAGAGAGCTTGCTGGATGACACGAAGCTCCAATATAGTCTAAGAATTTAAACTAAGTCTCAGAAATCTTCAGTTTGAATAATTAGGCACAAAGGACCTATTGTTACTTGAGATTTTCCTTGGTGCATGTTAAAAACAATACAAAATCACTGATATCCCCACATAGATATCTACATAAATGTTGAGGTGAGGAGCAAGCAAAGATCATCCAGGAAAAAAAAATATAAGTGATGAGGGACAAGAAAAAAAAGATACACTAAAATAAAAATAGCATGAAATGTGGGGAAGAAGAAAGAGAAATGAAGACCCAAAGCAAATAATGGTAGGCGTGGTAGGTAGCTCATGCCTGCAATCTCAGAACCCAAGGGGTGGATGTAAGATCTTGAGTTCAAGGCCAGCTGGGGCTATAGAGTGAAACCCTGTTTCACAAAACAAAACAAGCAAACAAAAGAATTAAAAAAATGAAGAGAACAATGAGGTAGGAAAGGGAAGGGTAGGACAAAGGACATAAGACAAGGGACAAAGGACACATGGAAAAAGCAAGAAGACATTGGCTGGGTTCACGTGCTTGGATGTGAACTCACTTATATATTGCTCAAACACAAGGCTTATTTTCCCTTGAGATGTTCCTTGGACTCTACAAGCTCACAATGAAGGGCTCTAGAGTCAGAATGACTATTTCTAGTCCATAAGGCACATCCATGCACCTGTGTACACCCTGGGAGAATATCCATGTTACAGAATCCTGAACTCCAAGTGTCCTGAACTGAACTCTCCTTTCTTCTATCAGGTGTCTTCTAGTCCTTCTCTGCTCCACATTCAGGTGAACGGTGTCGTTATCACCACTGCCTTGCTGCAAGAAGAACTAGGCTTCTTCCAGACTTTTCCTTCTCCCTCCAAATTGAAAATGCATCTCCTGTTACCCCCTCTCCATTCAATCAGTCTCCATACAAGAGCTTTCCTCCTTGCCACACTCACATCTGAACACAAAACTTAGTTAATACCACCGTCAGCTAGACTTCATGATGGAGTCCAGCCTCCTTCCACGGCCGCATAACCTTCATGATCTGACTCTGGCCAGCTCGCCTGCTTCACCTCCTCTGTCCATGACCACACCCCCAATCTATGGCTGCAACTGCTCCTAACCGCAGAGGGAAGCAGCATGCCTCCTGTACTTCCTTTGTTCGGGACCATTTATCCCACTGCTTCCGACCATCTATATTTTCGTTTGTCATTTTATATAAATTGAAGACTTTATTATTAAGTTGGGTTTTTAAAAACTTGCTTACACAAAGGCAGACACCGAATATTTTCCAACTAGGGAAGAAAAGAATCACTTACCATAGCCAGATTTCCTCATCTCTTCCACCAATGAACGATCCCTTAGCCAGACAGAACCGTATCATAACTCTGAACTGGCTCTAATGACTTAGTCCTTCACATGTGGATGCCCTGTTTTGGTTTTTTGTTTGTTTGTTTTTGTTTTTGTTTTTTTTAACTTTGGGGTCTGATCTTTGAGATTGTTTTCTCGTGGGGTACAGTACTGATTAGCTGCTCCAGCATGATACACTGGCCCAAGGAATTCATCCTCATAGTTTTCATTATAATGGAGGGAAATCTTCCTCCTCACATGCTTGGGAGCATCAAGTACAAGAAGTCAGACATTAGGACCAAACACTTGTCAGGGGATAAAACAATTTCACATAGCTTTCATATTATCCCATGGGAAGAAATAAAGTTCTTATATTTCTTTTGGCATGATATGCTTTTCATAGTCACAAAATCTCCAAGCATTTACTCTAAATTTCTGCCCCCCCCAACTGCAAATGCTATGTGATTAAAAAATGTTCACAATCACAGTCTCAGCTGTGTCTTGGCCACCATGGCCTACCCAGCAACTGGATCTTATCATACCCCCAAAGTGACCTGGCAAACAGTGACAAACAGCTCTGCACTGTGCACCCAGCTACAAGCTCACCTTTTCTTCATGACCAGCACAACTCCCAGAAATATGATAACGAATAGCAAGATGCCTGCAATCACTCCGGCGATTTTAACTGTGTGGTCTGTTTGTTTCTCAGGTTCGGGGACTGGCTTTGGGGTAACGGCCCCTGGAGATGAAAAGGAGAGCAAGTGGGTAAGACAGAATAAAGACATTACATTTAAATTTCTCCCCCTGCATTTAACAGAATAATACAACTTATCAGAGCCAGCAGACCGACGGGCTTTGATTTCTTTCTTTCTTTTTTTTTTTTTTAAGCAGCTTTCCTAGGAGCTGAAAGCATTGTAATTGCTCTTGTTGTTCAGCATTCACTCTCCACAGCACACCCACGTCTGACCCTTTTCTAAGAGACTTCTCAAACGCACTTTTAAATATTTTTATTATCTATGTTAGCTCCCGTTCGTTCTTCTTTCCATTTAAAAACTTGCTAACAGCACACGAGCTATCCCTAAGCCTTTATCCAAATTTGATTTGCTGGAGCATTTTCCTCAATTATTTTTCATAAATGAAGCAATAATTCCATCACATATTAGCCCAAACACCTGGAAAAGTGAGATAAGCTCATTTACCATGCTTTTTTTTTTTTTCACCAGCCATTGTTTTTTTTTTTAAAAAAAAAACACAATAGAGACCTCCCACCTTTGGAAATCTGAATCTAGGTCACATCTGGGAAGCAAAAGGATCCTTCTAAGCAATTAATTCACAAAGTGGGCAGCAGCTGGTGATCACGCCACCAGCACCCATGGTTCACATCTGTTTAAATGAGATAACCAGGGCCTCAGAGTGGTGGCCACGTCTCGGCTCCCTTGTGTGCCTGTTTCCAAGACACCGTTTGTCCTGCTGCTGGTATAATATGATGGAATGTCAAATCTATGTTGATGAAATATCCATTTCCTCTGCTAAATGAGTTCAGGACCAAGAATATTAGGAGTGTAATGTCCAATTCATTCAACAGCATCTACTTTTTAAAAGAGGTTTCTCCTGGCCTCATCAGGATGTGACGGCCTTTGGTGTTTGGACCAACACGGTACCACCCTTCCTAAATGAAGCAATATTATGTGCAAACTTCTCATCCTAGGATCTTTTTCCATTTTCGTTGGTCAAAATGTAATGAAGAGTGAGAGTCTGTGCCTGCTCTTTCTCCCTTTCCAGTGTGTTTTCCACCAACATGTCCCTCTATGCTTGAAAAACTGCACTGGTCCTGCCTCTGTGCCCACATACACAGCTTAGCAGGCATCCTTGTGGGGAACGGGCGAGGTGAGCCACAGCTGCCGGGTTTCCTCGCTCCTTTGGAAGCATACGGACCCTGTTTCTCTCCAACTACACTCATATTACAATTTTCATTCGAGAGAACACGGCTGTAACCTGGCCTGGTGAAGCTGGGTGTAGATTAAAGGAGAGACAAGAGATGGAAGACCCCAGGCCACCCTCATGCTTTTCCCCTACAAAGGGAGTATGACCATCCCAGGTGTCCTGTCTACTGCCTCTTAGGGCCAGCTTCAGTTACTGGCTTTTAATAAAAAGGAGCCTTGCAGCCATGCACTTTCCTTCATTATTGACAATGATGCACACGGTCAGTAAAAGCTTTCAGGAGCAACTTCCGATGACTATTTATTATTATTATTATTATTATTATTAATTTTATTTTTGACAATGTCAAAAGGACAGGAAATCCTTTTCTTTTTTCTTTGATGGGTAGTCCTCAAACCTGCTGTCTAGTGAAATGTTAAGTATTAATGATAATTATTTCATAGTAATTACATCTGAAGAACACTTACTGCCTTAGACCTGGGGACAGTTGGGGGGGGGGGCAGAGCACCAGGTGGCTGATGCAGAAGAAACTGTTACATTAAATATATTGTTTTGGAAAAAAAATCTATGGAAAAATGCATACGTGATAAGAGGATAAAAACTTTATGAATGCAAAACGCAACCTGCAAATTCAGAAGGTCCAACCATTTCTATTTTTATTGAATTCCAATTTTAAATGTGTAATTTGCAAAATAATCTTTTGTTTTTCTTTCAAATGATGGAATGCTGGAAGCCATTTTTATTTATTTTGCTAGCTAGTGGTTACTAGTTCTCCAAATATATTTTCAATAGAGCAAAATGATTTTAAGGTGTTTTTTGGGGGGTGGGGGAGGTGTAAATAGTAAATATACCAATTGAAAAAAAAAGAATTTAGGAAAAAAATTATTTCAGTTTAAAAAAATCCTCACATTAAAAAAAAATAAGATGATCTGACTCACACATTGTAAGTTCTAAGAAAAGAGAGGGCCACTAATAGGTATGTGCTTGCTTCTGTCAACCAAGTAACCAGGTATTTTTCCTTGAGCATTACCTGGACTGTGATGCAGTTTTGAATGGGTATTCCTTTCCAGGGCAAAGATTGCTGCTCACCCAGCCTTTGTCCTTTTAGGGAAGCACAAAAGGACATTGCTGTGCAACCCAGCAGAAGCTCAATATCCCCCTCCTTAGGGCTTCTCGAGGGTCAAGAAAATGAAATGTCTGGAGCCCTGAGTGGCCCTGCAGCAACATTGATCACGGTTGCTATCGTGTGAAGCAGAACAACGACCTCTAAGGACGTGGAGGTCTGCCTGGGACCACCCACCTGGCTAACACAGGTGCTTGTTTGTGGGCTTCTAGGAGAAGCAGAAAAACTTAAACACCAAGTCAAGATTAGGTGGGTACTAGCTTCCAAAAGCCTGATGAGGGGGTATCCATGATGCTGGGCTGCCTCTCAGAACAGGCAGGTCCTGCCTTCATTACATGGTACGAGGCCCCTGTGCCCTTCCAGGAACCAGTGTCTGTGTGGGTTCCCCTTAGAGTGGGTGGTCTTCTTCCGTCTCTCATTTATTTGGAAACATTGGATTAGGTCAGTCACATTGGGCTGTTCCCATTTCCTTTTTACCCTATGTGGATTTGAATAAAAATAGTCCCCATAGGCTCATATATTGGATCCCTCTTAGTCATCAGGGAAGTAGAATTCTTTGATAGGATTAGAAGGATTAGGAGGTGTGGCCTTGTTGGAAGAGGTGTGTCACTGGGGGTGGGGCTTTGAGGTTTCAAAAGCCCATGCCGCATCCAGTCTCTCTCTTTCTTGGTCTATGGATCATGACGTAGCTCTCAATTATGGCTCCAGCACTTGCTTGCATGCTGCCGGGCTCCAAGCCATGATGACAAAAAGCTCTGATGACTGTAAGTCAGTCCCCAATTAAATGATTTCTCTTCTAAGAGTTGCCTTGGTCATGATGTCTCTTCACAGCAATAGCACAGTGACTAAGACACCCTACATCTATGAATGTAATGGCATTGACTATTTTTATCGATGAAAACAGAAAAGTGCATTTAAACACCATCATTAAAGGTCTCCGATACAGTGTCTAATAAGAAGAAAAAGAGAAACTCAAAAGCCAGGGAATGTCTGTCCAGTACAGCATCTGATTAGTTTCAAATTGGCAGAAAACAGAGTTTTGGCCTGGTGCTTAATGTTAAATTAAATCACAGCAGCATGCCAGACCAAGAACATGATGGGCTCAGCCACTGGCTTTAGGTCTGGACCCAATTTTGCCTACTGAACTGGCTGTATGGGTTTTTCCAGGAGGCCATGAAGGCCAATGCTGATGACCTGAGCTCCTGACCACCCTGTCTGCAGCACCTGGAATGGCTTCCCTTTGCCAGGCTTGGGAAAGCTGAGGGCGGATAGCCTGGTATAACGACACCACAAGGAATCTTTAGCTGATTACTGCCAGGGCAACTGTGAACCCAGAAGAAAACATCACCAATATTCTTCATTTATTTAATGAGTGGTTTCCTGACACTTTGCTACATTTCTTATATATTAGGAACATAGCAGTGAGCATATGGACAAAAAAAAAAGGAGCTCAGAATTTATATTCCATTGTGCAAATATAGAAAAATATTTGAACAAAGACTGTGGGCCACACGTTTCTTGGTGCTAGGCCTGGTGGGGTGATGGCCAAGCAGTGACAGCTAAGAAGAAATTACTAAGACAATAGCATCCATTGGAGAGACTAGCAGGAGGAAGGAGAGCGAGGCATGGCCTTACCCTCCTGACCTTATTTAAGGTGAGACTGCATCACTGGGTAGGAATGGAGTGTAGCAAACTGGGAAAATGGCCCAGGGCACTGGTGTGTGGGGGTCACTTAAACAAAGAGTAGGGAGAATTCTGCTTCAGATGGGGCCCACAGCAGGATTCTGAGTGGAGGAGATACAATCTGGTTTATATGTAACAGCCCTATCTTGGCTGCAGAGAAGGCTGTAAGGCATCCGTAGTGGAAACGGGGACATCAAGAGCAAGGTTATCACAACAACCCAGACTGATTCTATGATGGAAGTAGTAGAGGTGGTGATGCTTTGTTCAACTTCATATACTTCCAGGGCGGTCATAGGTATTTGCCAATGAACTTCAGTAGGCCGGGACAACCAACACCCAGGTTTCTGGAAGTCATTGCAGAAGACCTGAAGGTGTCATTGACTCAAATTGACAGTGTGGGTGAAGTAGGCTCAGACAGGGACAGCAGGAGCTTAGTGTAGACTCCTTAGGATGCCGCGCTAATGACATCCAAAGGAGAGACCAAGCAGCAGTTGGGACAGGTGAGATCTCTGGGTATGAGACACCAACTTAGGAAATGCCATAAAAATGATAGTGTGGAAAGTCACAAGTCTACTCAGGGACACTTAGAAGATGAAGACAGAGGTGAGCCTGTCACGGTAGTGTGGAGAGGAATCAGCCAGGAGAAGGTCATCAAGGTGAGCAAAGGTTAAGAGGGAAAGTCTCTGCAGCCTGCTCAGTGAGAGATGTAGGGACTGTGAGATGTCTCTCATGCATTAAAGATGGGGAAGCCGATAGCATCCCGGAGGCCAAATGCTAATGATAAACAGAAGCAAAAGTCAGGGAGGAGGGGGTGGGGGAGGGGGGGGAGAAAGAAATGCCCACAGGGCTGATGTCTTAGAAGGGTCAAAGGTTGGGGTAAGTATCCAGAAGGTGGGGCTGGCCCAGGCCAGGAAGCAGTCACTGTGTCCTGAGGAGCAGGAGGAGCAGCAGCTGTTACGATGGCTGACAGATGTGGAAGAGGTCTTGGAGTG